AACCACCTTTTTGTTTGTCCTTATGTAACAGAGTTGTAGACTTGACATAGTGTGTTTTATGTCATGGTCAAACCACCTTTTAGTTTGGCCTGATGTAACAGAGTTGTAGACTTGAAATAATGTATTTGATGTCATGGTCAAACTTCACCTTTTAATTGAGCCTGATGAAATAGATTTGTAGACTTGACATAGTGTGTTTTATGTCATGGTCTAACCACCTTTTAGTTGGCCTTATGTAACAGAGTTGTAGACTTGACATAGTGTGTTTTATGTCATGGTCAAACCACCTTTTAGTTTGGCCTGATGTAACAGAGTTGTAGACTTGAAATAATGTATTTGATGTCATGGTCAAACTTCACCTTTTAATTGAGCCTGATGAAATAGATTTGTAGACTTGACATAGTGTGTTTTGTGTCATGGTCAAACCACCTTATAGTTTGGCCTTGTGTAGCAGATTTGTAGACTTGACATAGTTTGTTTTATGTCATGGTCAAACCACCTTTTAGTCTGGCCTGATGAAACAGAGTTGTAGACTTGGCATAGTATGTTTTATGTCATGGTCTTACCACCTTTTAGTTTGTCCTGATGTAACAGAGTTGTAGACTTGACATAGTGTGTTTTGTGTCACGGTTAAACCACCTTTTAGTTTGGCCTAATGTAACAGAGTTGTAGACTTGACATAGTGTGTTTTGTGTCATGGTCAAACCACCTTTTAATTTGGCCTGATGAAACAGATTTATAGACTTGACATAGTGTGTTTTATGTCATGGTCAAACCACCTTTTAGTTGGCCTTATGTGGCAGAGTTGTAGACTTGACATAGTGTGTTTTATTTAATGGTCAAACCACCTTTTAGTTGGCCTTATGTAACAGAGTTGTAGACTTGACATAGTGTTTTTAATTTAATGGTCAAACCACCTTTTAGTTGGCTTAATGTAACAGAGTTGTAGACTTGACATAGTGTGTTTTATTTAATGGTCAAACCACCTTTTAGTTGTCCTTATGTAACAGAGTTGTAGACTTGACATAGTGAGTTTTATTAAATGGTCAAACCACCTTTTAGTTGGCCTAATGTAACAGAGTTGTAGACTTGGCATAGTGTGTTTTATGTCATGGTCAAACCACCTTTTTGTTTGTCCTTATGTAACAGAGTTGTAGACTTGACATAGTGTGTTTTATGTCATGGTCAAACCACCTTTTAGTTTGGCCTGATGTAACAGAGTTGTAGACTTGAAATAATGTATTTGATGTCATGGTCAAACTTCACCTTTTAATTGAGCCTGATGAAATAGATTTGTAGACTTGACATAGTGTGTTTTGTGTCATGGTCAAACCACCTTTTAGTTTTCCTTATGTAACAGAGTTGTAGACTTGACATAGTGTGTTTTATTTAATGGTCAAACCACCTTTTAGTTGGCCTTATGTAACAGAGTTGTAGACTTGGCATAGTGTGTTTTATGTCATGGTCTAACCACCTTTTAGTTTGTCCTGATGTAACAGAGTTGTAGACTTGGCATAGTGTGTTTTGTGTAATGGTCAAACCACCTTTTAGTTTGGCCTGATGTAACAGAGTTGTAGACTTGACATAGTGTGTTTTGTGTCATGGTCAAACCAACTTTTAGTTTGGCCTCATGTAACAGATTTATAGACTTGACATAGTGTGTTTTATGTCATGGTCTAACCACCTTTTAGTTGGCCTTATGTAACAGAGTTGTAGACTTGACATAGTGTGTTTTATGGCATGGTCAAACCACCTTTTAGTTGGCCTTATGTAACAGAGTTGTAGACTTGACATAGTGTTTTATTTAATGGTCAAACCACCTTTTAGTTGGCCTAATGTAACAGAGTTGTAGACTTGGCATAGTGTGTTTTATGTCATGGTCAAACCACCTTTTAGTTTGTCCTTATGTAACAGAGTTGTAGACTTGACATAGTGTGTTTTATGTCATGGTCAAACCACCTTTTAGTTTGGCCTGATGTAACAGAGTTGTAGACTTGACATAGTGTGTTTTGTGTCCTGGTCAAACCACCTTTTAGTTTGGCCTGATGTAACAGAGTTGTAGACTTGACATAGTGTGTTTTGTGTCATGGTCAAACCACCTTTTAGTTTGGCCTGATGTAACAGATTTATAGACTTGACATAGTGTGTTTTATGTCATGGTCAAACCACCTTTTAGTTGGCCTTATGTAACAGAGTTGTAGACTTGACATAGTGTGTTTTATGTCATGGTCAAACCACCTTTTAGTTGGCCTTATGTAACAGAGTTGTAGACTTGACATAGAGTGTTTTATTTAATGGTCAAACCACCTTTTAGTTGGCTTAATGTAACAGAGTTGTAGACTTGGCATAGTGTGTTTTATGTCATGGTCAAACCACCTTTTAGTTTGTCCTTATGTAACAGAGTTGTAGACTTGACATAGTTTGTTTTATGTCATGGTCAAACCACCTTTTAGTTTGGCCTGATGTAACAGAGTTGTAGACTTGAAATAATGTATTTGATGTCATGGTCAAACTTCACCTTTTAATTGAGCCTGATGAAATAGATTTGTAGACTTGACATAGTGTGTTTTGTGTCATGGTCAAACCACCTTATAGTTTGGCCTTGTGTAGCAGATTTGTAGACTTGACATAGTTTGTTTTATGTCATGGTCAAACCACCTTTTAGTTTGGCCTGATGTAACAGAGTTGTAGACTTGACATTCTCGAAGTTATTGAAAACAAGCTAAAACTACTGAAACTGGTACATAACTACGTCTGATATTGCTTTGAGACTCCTTGTTTTTATGCCCCACCTACGATAGTAGAGGGGTATTATGTTTTTCGGTCTGAGCGTCCGTCCGTCCGTCTGTCCCGCTTCAGGTTAAAGTTTTTGGTCAAGGTAGTTTTTGATGAAGTTGAAGTCCAATCAACTTGAAACTTAGTACACATGTTCCCTATGATATGATCTTTCTAATTGTAATGCCAAATTACAGTTTTGACCCCAATTTCACGGTCCACTGAACATAGAAAATGATAGTGCGAGTGGGGCATCCGTGTACTATGGACACATTCTTGTTTTTTAAATCATTTACAGGTAAGGATTATGTTCATTACCTCTCTACAAGCATAACCTAATAACATGAAAGTTCCAACTATGTACTGGCTTCCAAGGCTGCACAAAACACCTTCCAAATAAAGATTTATTTCGTCACCAAGCTATTGTTTCACTATTCAACTGTCTACTTTACTAACTAGTACACGAACAATCAAAGACATAGTAATAAATTTTTCAAATAAGGCCTACGAAAATAGTGGAATTAATTACTTTTAGAGTGGCAAAAATTCGTTGGAAGTAATTGATAAATTGCATGCTCATATTGGTGTTTTCGAATCTGTTAAAAGTTTATATTTTTCTACCTTATATACCACTTTGCCTCATAATCTCATTAAGAAAAAAATCACATACCTAATTAAATGGGCATTTAATAAGTCAGAATGCGAATAAACATCTTCAAACTCTTATAGGTTTTTTTTAGTAACAACAAACAAAAGAACTATGTCAACTGGACCTACTTTGATATGACAACTGCACTTGAATTTTTACTAGATAACATTTGTGTTCGCTATGGAGATGCCGTATATCGCCATGTTATCGGAATCCCAATGGGGACTAACTGTGCACCACTTATTGCGGACCTGTTTCTGTCTTGTTACGAATTATAATTTATACCTAAATTCACCGAAGATCCATCGGAACAACATCTGATACAAAAATTCAATAACACTTTGAGATATTTGGATGATATATTGGCTCTCAATGATGACGACTTCAGTGTGAACACTTAAAGACATTTATCCTGTTGAACTTATTTTTAATAAAGCTAATACTAACAATGAACACTGCCCTTTCCTGGATCTTGATATCTATATCTGTAACGTGAAGCTTAGTACTAAAATTTACGATGAAAGAGATGATTTATAATTTCTTATTGTTAATTATTTCAGTTTTAGACAGTGACGTTCCCTTGACATCATCTTATGGTGTTTATATATCTCAACTTGTTCGATTCGCTCGTGTATGTAACAATGTTTATAATTTTAGCGAAAAAAATCTCTGTATTACTGAAAAATTATTACTCCAGGGTTTTCAATATCAGTAACTTGTCAAAACTTTTACTACATTTTGTCATCGATACAAGGACATCATTTGTAAATATAAATCAACGTGCAGACATCTTATACGTTCAGGTATATCACATCCCATCTTTTATTGTATATTCTATACAAAGCACAAAAATGTCGTCATTCACATCAAAAGCTAACCAACTCTTTAAACAGACTAATTCAGAAGGGATATAGTTACGATACTGTTGTCAAGTCATTAAAGATAGCATTTTTTGGAATTAATATTTATTCACTCATAGGGTCTTTGTATCGGGAAAAAAAAACACATTTAATCTAAAACTAGTTGTTGGCATGATACGGGTTATGTTCTTTTATATTCGTATAATTTATGATGGCATGATACTAAACCCCTAACGGGAGGGATTGTGCTTGATTTTCATATGACGAATTAATGAACAGTTTGTAATGGTGGGAAGGTTAAATCTTGATCCGATTCCCACGGAGGAATTATGTTCCGAGGGAATCGAATCCAGATTTTCCCACCATTACAAACTTTTCATTAATTGCTCCTCGGGATTCGGATCCCTCCGCGGTTTCGGATCGGTATATCGGGTGTGTTACTGTCCATGGGATAACTAACTTACTGGGAGAAAGTAACTTTACTAGAAACTAGAATTACTGTAAAATTAACTTAAAAGACTAGTAGTTTTAACTAGAACAACCAGTAAATGAACAAATGTACTAGTTGTCTCATTGGCAATCATACCACATCTCCATATTTTATATAGTTAGAATTTCTCTGTTACTAGGTAAACCGTGTAACATCTTCTAATTACTTTTGTTAGTGCAGTATTTGGCTGTTGGTCGGGTTCTTGCAAATACATAAATTATATTCCTTATGCATAACAGAATTTTAATGAAAAAGCAGTCATATTATTGAAAATTATCTAGTAGCCACAATATAAAAACTATATTGTATAAACATATATAAGAAAACTTTCACATAATGTAATTTCAAGATATTCACTACACAATTAGAATTTTCATTATTCAAAAGACCATTTAAGATTATCAATCCAAAGTATGCCAATATTGTCTTATTTTGTTGTGTTGTTTGATCTCTTTGCAATTGTGTCTCATTTCTTTGTACATGACGCCATTGCCCTCTCACAATAACGAGTGCAGGCTGTCTTGTTCTTGGCGTAATTCCGGCATGTTAATTGACAGTCAGCATATCTTAACTGACAACAATTTGTATTAGCTTGGGCTGGTGACGTCACCAAAACCAATCCAATAATCACCAATGTAATTATATATTTGATCTGAAAAGAATGAAATAGACTGTTGTCAGAATAAACGTTGAGAATCCAGTTATTTGAATAAAACATTTGAGTATCTGAATATTTAACATAAGAATGCGCACGCTGACTTGCCTCGCCTGCTTACTTATCATGATTAAATTTATGTTGAAAGTCTGTAATATGAAGTTTTTTCTACACGTATCACATATACTTAACAATATCAATGATTCGTGAAAATGAGGTCAAGGTCAGACCAAACCACAAAAACTTAATATTGACCAATGAACCATGAAAATGAAGTCAAGGTCATATGAAACCCTGACAGACAGACATGTACATCTTACAATTATTAGTTTATACAATATTTTATTCAAATAAATCAATACATAGTATACAATTCTGATACATGAAATAAATAGGATTCAGAAACAAGCAAAATTGCTTTGATTAATTTGCCTCCTAGTATACAAATAAATTTCGTATATGGTCATTATTATGTGAGTATGGTATGTTCTGAAATAGTCTGTTTGTAAGAAAACAAACATAAGATATTGAATTTTCATTAAAAAAAAAAGCTGAATAAACGTGGTAAATAGTATATAGTGTTGTGTGCAGAATGAAATACTTAGGTTTTATAAATGATCGAGCATTTGCATCAAGTATTGAATCGTTTGGTTTTTATTATATATTTCTGTACAAAATAAATAAAAGGCTGTTTTGCTCGTCCGAGAGTGCGGTTGAACCAAATAGCAAGGTATTAATGTCAAATTGAACTGGAAAATCTGAAATTGAAGCCAGAGGCTCCTGCCTTAAATTGGTATATATTGGACAGGATCATAGGAAATGAAAATTTGTTTCCAAGTCACCACAACGACAGTTTGGAGAGTCTACTAAATTCCGAAGAAAAGATGAGAATTTAATGAACTCGAGTTCATCCTTAAGCGAGCTTGAAGAACTTGTCCAAATCGATTTCCTACATATTATTCCATACACCATATAAAATTAACTAATTGCATGAGTATCTAATAAACTGACAAAACCTTGAAAACTTGACATTGACCAATGAACCAGTTAAATGAGGTCAAGATCATACGAAACCTGCCAGGCAGACATGTACACCTTACAATCATTCCATACACCAAATATAGTGGCTCATTACTTAAAGCATCTGGGAAATAGACAAAACCAGAAAAACTTAATATTCTCAAATGAACCATGAAAAAGAGGTCAAGATCAGATGAAACCTGCCAGTCTGACATGTACAAGTTAGAATCATTCTATACGCCAAACATAGTTGACCTATTGCCCATTGTATCTGAGATACAGACTTGAACACGAAAACTTAACCTTGATCACTGATCCATGAAATGTGGTCGAGGTCAGGTGAACCATGTCTGATGGACATGTATACTTTGCACGGATCCCATACTAGTACACCAAATATAGTTATCCGGTTATTCATAATAAGTTAGTATTCAACATGACAAAAAATATATCTTTTTTAAGCAGTCACTGAACCATGAAAATTAGGTCAAGGACAATGGATATATGACAGACGGAAAGTTCGTAACATAAGGTGTCTGCATACAAGGTATGAAGCATTCAGGTCTTCTACCTTCTGAAATATAAAGCTTTATACAACTAGTTTACGCCGTCACCACCGCGGCCCCCGGATTATAATCCCTATGTATCGGCAAGCGAGACAATAAAACGAATGCATCCGTAAGCGATGGAACCTTTTTAAAAAATGTCTATTTTCAGAAGTTTGTGTCGGCAAGTTTACATAACACTTCCTCTTTTTCAAAATAAATAGAGAAATAAAAAAGGCAACCAAATAAGAAAACAAAACTATGTACTTAAGACAGCATGTGGTTTCAAACTATAGCATTCACACGTTCAGTGAACCACACAATCTTAGATAAACACCATAATTTGGAATATTTTTAAAGGTTCACATCTTAAAAAACATGTGTACTATGTTTCAAGTTGATAAGAATCAAAACTTAATGGTAAACTATCTTAACCCAATACTTAAACCTGATTATACGAGAGGGACTGGCGGACGCACAGAATTTCGTTTCTTTTACAATAACAAAGGTGGATTTTCACTACAACAACTACTACGGGGGTATTAAGCTACATTGACTACCCATGAGGATGCCCCACGATCGGTCCTGGATTTTTTACAGACAAATCATACGAAAGTAGTCTAAAATATCGGGTACAATAAATGGAGTAAATTATAATATATGGCAGTTATTTGTCAGAAGAAGTTATCGTCCGGTCTTTAACAATGACGTTTAAAGAGATGCGCATTCTGAATGTCTATTTTGTTTTTATTTAGTTGTTTCGTCGCATTGCTGTATCAGAAACGAATACCCTACATTTTCAATGTTGAGAGAAAAATAGGTGAAACCAAGGATTTGTATAGTGAGATTCACTATACAAATCCTTGGTGAAACCAAAGAGGACTATTTGCAAATACAATAGTTCGCCCATTTTTTATTCCCCGTCTACGATAGTAGGGGTCTCCATGTTTTCCGGTCTATGAGTCCACCGTCATTCCATCCGTTCGTTAACCTGTCCGTTACAGGTTAAAGTTTTGGTTTAATGTAGTTTACCATGAAAGTGTGGTCGCATAAATCTGAAACTTGATATAGATGTTCATTTGATGTGAACCGTTTAAAATGTATGACGAATTAGGGTTTTACCCAGATTTTGTTGTTCGTTAAAAATGAAAAATGATGGTGCGAGTGGGGGTTTGTGGTGGGGAGCATGTTGTCAAATGGACACATAATCTTTTCTTGTTTTGTCTTTCTCCTTTTTAGCTTATCGCTTTTCATTTCTTGTTATGTAATTTATAGAAAAATAAGATATTGAGATCTATCACAGGAATACTGAACACTGGCGCTTGGACAGTGAAGTATAATTGTAACAAGCAATCTGAAGAATGCTGTCAAAAAAAAAGAGATCTATCAAAATTGCTTGAGGAAACTTAATTGTTTGGTAATGAAATGAAAGATAAGAATCGAGTATTAAATTCCGGGATAAAATGCAGAAACTAAATTTTGTTTCTATAGAGGTAGATTTTTTATGCATAACTTTCATTGCAGTCCTCTTTCAGTACGCATGACACGCGATTCTAGAAATTCGTTTTAAAGTATACATACATTCTTATTTACTAAATATTTATAATAAATACATCTTTTTTTCAATCAATAATATTTACAGCGGTTATGTTCTCCCGTTAAATAGTGAAATTGTTATACAGCTATATAGTGTCTTGAACTCTGTTATTCAAACTTTTGGTAAGTCGTAACAGAATTTACAATATTGAAAAGTTGATTTTGTTCATCACTTATTTTTCCTTCTCTAATGACAACTCGGGTGTTTTAATAGATGAAATATTTGCACTGTACAAATTACAATTTATTTATACCATGAACCACTTTATCGTTGAATATTTAAACGTTTTCATAATTGGTAATGTTTACTTACTTGCATTTTGAGTCGGTGTGCTATTGTCTTGTCCAAGATATAAAGTTTTTGGTGGTAATGAACTCTATTTATATGTATATATTTAGGATAACAGGTGATATGACTAGGAAAACAATGCTGTACATGTAGGCCTATTGAAGCCTCTGGTTATTACGATTAATTAGTATATTACGTATCAAGTTTTTAAATTTATATATGCCAGCTGCATTCCTTTATATAGCCCGTAACAATATTCCTTGTAAATGGTAAATATACTGCTACGTGGGTAAATGGGGTATTCCTCGATTATTGAAGATTAAAAAAAGTGTACATTTTGATCAAGAAACTTGCATTCATATAAATATTTCGACTACTTTAAATTCAACTTTTTTCATGTAAAATCCGTCTGAAATGTACTGTAAAATTACTACATTTTCTGTTACATGTATAAGCCAAATTCACCTGATTTATTTTTTGTAAACATTAAAATACTCTCAATTAGTATTTTAAACATGAAATTGTTTATATGAAATAGTGAATATTTTAAGATAAGACAAATGATGCTTGTTTTTTGCTTTTTTTTAATGAGAAGTTGACTCCACTTCAACATTTTCAGATGTTTTTTCATTTATAACCTCATTGGTATGAAATTCTCGTAAAAATTTTATTCACATGAGGGTTAATTGTCTATGATTTTGAAACATTGCTGAGACAGTATTGAATTAGGAACAACTTGAAATGAAAATTAATGAAACATGGTAAAGACATAGTTATATGATTGAATGTATTGTTAATTATTATCTTCCATTAAACTGCTCATTCAATAACTTGTTATCCGCAAAAGTCCTACGAAAAAAATCCAGCTATAACTGTGTTTATTTTCTTCTTCCTAACACATGTAGTTGTTTGTATTGTGCCGTGGGGGAATTATATTGTTCGTGGGTTAAGACATACATTTACAATTTAAACAAGATTTTGCCTTGTTGATACGACGGAGTTGTAAGGTTAAAACAGCTTCAAACTACTTCATTATGTAAACCCCCCAAGCATCCTTTATATAGATAAAATACATTATCGAATCAAGTGATAAAGTCAGTGCCGTAAAAGTCCTGCCCAGAAGTTTTAATTATTAGCATCATATTAGAATACCAAAATGATTGTAGTGTAGTTAGATTTCTGTTACACTCCAATAAAGTCAACTGTCTAGTGGTCTTATTAAATTGTCAACTTTACATTGCATCAACTGTAAATTCCATTGTAAGTCATATTGTTAACCTTTTTTCACGTTAGAGAAGTTTATACAGTAGTTAATATTATATTACATACATAAGAAGCCTGTACAATCTTGAATTTAAATAAATCTTTAAGAGTCGGAAGTTAAACACTACAATTTAACCGAAACAAAGACACAAATAGCTTCTAGCTTGAACAGCAGTCAGATGGTCTAGACTGGTGGAAATGAATAGGTTCAACATACAAATCAAAATCTTACACGAAAAACACCGTTTGTGCTCCACTTGCTATATCAAAATATTTTGAAACAGCCTAGAAATCATCTGTCTAAATACTTTGATGATATTTTTAACCATTGATTTGCAGCTTTTCGATCAGGCTATGGCTGTTACTCAACCTTATTATCTTTTAGTAACTGAGAGTACTCTTAGATCGGTATTTTGTGTTTTCTTTGGTCTTTTTGTTATTTGTTTTCTGTGTAGCCGATCTAATAAGACATGTCCTTTTTGACTGATTTTTTTTTACGGTTTGTTTTCATGTTTTAGTGTTACTGACCACTGTAAAAGGTTAGAAATAGGACCTATATTATTCCGCCATATTCTTTAACTGACTAACCCAACACATGAGGCTACTATCGAGTGGTTGTCGTAGTTTGTTGTCTATCGTAATTGTAATTCAAGATCAATATTGAAGATTTTCACCTTTGCCGTTCAGGAGCTATGACCCTTGAACGATTGGCAAATAGCCCTTTATATCAATTCCGTGCAATAACTTAAAAATCGATGCGTTCTTACTTTTTACAAACTTAAGGTCAAGTACGATATTGACGATTTTCATTTTTATGGTTCAGGAGTAATGACACTTAATTGTTTTGACAATTACCCACGTAAGTATATAAAACCCGGTTTATATTCATTTTAACATGCTATGGATTATCATGATAATGGATTTAAATCATAGTTTTATTGTAGATTTCCAGTTAGTAAATCTATAACTGTATTAAAAGTTGTGTTGAAACTTCTTCGGGCAAAATTGTTCTCAAATGATTTTGGCCAATCTGTCATGTTTATTTTGGTGTTTTTTTCCCACTCGGCTTCCTAAACGTTTGATCAGGCATACCTGATGGTTATTGCAGAGACGCGTGTCATTTGCACTAACTCCAGTATCCAACGTTTTCTAAACTATAACGCTTTGTAAAATTCCACTGCCATTTATATATACATGTAGGATTTCTTTTGCCAAATTTCGATGTTGTGTTGCGCCATATTAAAAGGATCCAAACAGGGAGCCATGAACATCCACTTTAAACAGAGCGAGTCTATGGTAAAAAATATCCAACGTGTAAAGAAGATGTACAAAGCCCATGTACTTTTTATCATTTCTATTATCTGGAGATTTTATATGAGATTTGTTTGACAAAACAAAGCATTTTAACGTTGATTTTTTTTTTGTCTCTTAATGATAGAAACTAGTGTTTTTATTTACAAACATTGATATGTTTCGTAGTAAAAAGCCTGTTATCTTATTTTGAATAGACGTAGACATAATTATTTTGTACTGTAAATAATGCACATATAAGTTTATTAATATAAGTATTCTTTGCAATGACCTAATCATAATGTTCTATACTCTTACAAGTTTTGTTTATTTCTCTCCAATTGATATCTACATTGAACACCTAATGTAATGTTGTATAGTATCGTGAGATGATATTTAAATAAAATCATTTCTGTACTTTAATATTTCATTTCATTTTTTATAATACACTATTTGTTCTGATAATAAAACACAAGAAAGAATAAAGTTTTCAACGCAGATGTCAAATTGACAAATATTATGTGAGTATTTGGATATTTTCACCAGACTGCAAAATATCTATCAAGGACAACCATGGACGGTCCTTTCGCACGAGTTCTAGGAATTCCTCCTTGTCTTCTTTTACGTTCACTGGAATACAAAGTCCCACATTAAGAGACCGTGCTTCTTTATGTGCCCATAGTCTCTTGTTACCATCTGTGACCCAATATTTTCCGAATACTTTATACACAGTGATGGGATCTACATTCTCTGCATTTACATTGTATCTTAAACTGAATTGCCAATTTTCAAAATAAGAGTTAATTGTTATTGTCTCCTTGGTGTATCGAACATTTATTGGATCAAGGTGTTCAATGGTTCTGGATGTTGACAATGGAAGATTTGTTACCGCTGCATGGAAATCAGTGAAGTCGGAACAGCCTCTTTGTGGATTTCGTCGATCGTAGCTTGTAAGAGATCTAAGCATGCTTAATCTTGAAGTTGTATATGTATTTCTTGTTACATTTTGGGTGCTTGTTTCTGATTGTGTCACTAATGCTGCGTCTGGATCTATGCTTGACACTCGATGGTGCCATCGACCAGTTGCAGATCGTCCATGATAAAATCTTACTGTCTTGCCACCATTTCTAGAGTTTAACTTCCTTGGGTCAATAAAAAAGGTCTTTGTCACAGGAATTGTCGTGCATTTCCGAAGCTTTTCAAGATGGCGGAAGACCCATAAGCGTCTGTTATCAGCCGTAACCCATTTTCCGTCCCTCCACATGACGCTAATTATAGGTATATTGTCGACACTACATCGTCCTTCCACCAACTCGTCTAAAGTTTCTCCTATATTCTTTCCACCATGACGACTATGTTTGTCGAATCGACTATTGATTTCTGCCTGGCTAAAGTATATCTCTAATGGTCTTAAATACATTTTCTAAAAAACAAAAAGTTTATAATTAACAGCATTTAAAATATTCTATATGAAGATCAAGCTTTCAAATTGTTCTATGAGTAAACAAAGGAAAAAATAAATATAATTCAGTTTCCTAGGATCTGTAAATTGTACAATCGCCGCATTAAACGCTTTTAAACATTCCTACGAGTAACTTACTGCATAAAACATAATTGCCAAATAGGCTAATAATTTCTAGTTTCAATAATATAGCTGTTAATATCGGACAGGGAAAATCTAGTTGTAAAATATCGGCTATGAACAGGAAGAATCTATCTGTTGAATATCGGACATGAAGAACCTAGCTTTAGAATATCTGATTTGAAGAAGCTAGGTGTAGAAGATCGGCTATGTACAGGAAAAATTTAGCTGTAGAAAATCTCATTAGAAGAAGCCCTAGGTGATGAACATCGGCTATGTACAGGAAGAATCTAGCTGTAGATTTTTCTGATGATTAGAAGAAGCTAGGTTTAAAACATCAGCTAAGTACAGGAATAATATAGCTGTAGAATATCTGATAAGAAGAAGCTAGGTGTAGAACATCGGCTATGTACAAAAAGAATCTAGCTGTAGAAAATCAGCTATGTACAGGAGGAATCTAGCTGTAGAATATCTGATTAGAAGAAGCTAGGCGTGGAACATCGGCTATATACAGGAAGAATCTAGCTGTAGAAAATCTGATTAGAAGAAGCTAGGTGTAGAACAACGGCGATGTGCAAGAAGAAACTAGCTGTAGAACATCGGCTATGTACAGGAGGAATCTAGCTGTAGAATATCTGATTAAAAGGAGCTAGGTGTAGAACATCGGCCATGTACAGGAAGAATCTAGTTGTAGAAAATCGTCTTTGTACAGGAGGAATCTAGCTGTAAAATATCTGATTAAAAGAATCCAGTTGTAGAACATCGTCTTTGCACAGAAAGAATATAGTTGTAGAATATCGGCTATGTACAGGAAGAATCCAGTTGTAGAACATCGTCTTTGTACAGGAAGAATATAGTTGTAGAACATCGGCAATGTACAGAAAGAATCTTGTTGTAGAACATCGTCCTTGTACAGGAAGAGTATAGTTGTAGAACATCGGCTATGTACAGGAAGAATCCAGGTGTAGAACATCGTCTTTGTACAGGAAGAATCCAGTTGTAGAAAATCAGCTTTGTACAGGAAGAATCTAGCTGTAGAATATCTGATTAGAAGAAGCTAGGTGTTTTGTATACAAATCAGGCCGTTAGTTTTTTCGTTTGAACTGTTTTACATTTGTCATTTCGGGGTCTTTGATAGCTGACAATGCGATATGGGTTTTGCTAATTGTTGAAGGCCGTACAGTGACCTATTGTTAAAAACTTCTACTACGTCATTTGGTCTCTGGTGGAGAGTTGTCTCATTGTCAATTATACCACATTTTCTTATTTCTATATAAGAAGCTCATATTGGAGATGATGATATTCAGCCAGCAATTTAATTTTGTATATTGATCATTTCTGAACGATCAATTTCTCTAAGGTACACTGGAGTGAAAAACGATTTTAAATCATTCTCAGCCATGTCGTGTTAAACAATGAATTAAAGAATAAAACCTATCGTTATAATTGTAGAACGAAATATATACATACCCTTTATTACATAAAATGGCGTTATCTTGTTTTATTTTCGATTCCGGAAAATTTTAATTGAAAAAGTATCGGAAAACACCTCGTCTATTTTTAAATCATATTGATCTTACCTTTTTTCTTCTTTTAAACTAGGTTGATATAATTCAAATACGGTCAAAGGAAAAAAAGATGTTGTATTACATATAGATAACGGTAATTAATAGAAATCGAAACGATAAACTTCTTCACGTATGGTAATTAGCCATAAAGTTCAAAGGTCAAATAGTTATAAAATATTAAGAATCATAATTATAGCATGATCGCAAAACAAAAAACAAACTTGCCGTCAATATCAAAAGTTTTGCTTGATGGATTCTCACCGTTCTTAATTTGTAACATGTATTTTTTCATTCCGTTACATGAATTTTTATATTTATTGATTTGTGAAATGTAACTTCTTAATGTGTAAATGCATTTTCTTAAGTTGTTAACTTATTTTCTTCGTTCGTTACATGAATTTCTACATTTCTTAATTTGTGAAATGATATAACGATAGATAGATAGATAGACAGACAGAGAGTTTTAATATTTCGATTGAAAAACAAATATACGTCCTATACAAACCTAGAAATTTCATTTTACAAATTAAGAAATTTATAATTTTATAGTTACGATTTAGAATGAAGAAACTAATTGAATAAATAAAGAAATATCATTTCACAAATTAAGAAATCTATCAAGCAAAATTCATGTAACATATGGAAAAAATACATGTTACAAATTGAAAAATTACATTTTACAAATGAAGACATTGCATTTTGCAAGTATAAGTCATGAATATTACTGACAACTCTTTCATTCTACACAAAACGTTTTCTAAATCAACAATTTTCCGGTAGATCCAGAGCCTGCACTCCTCTTCTGCCTTGGAAGATCAAAATCTTTCTTTCGTTAAAGTCATAGTACTGTAAAAAAAAAAGTCACAGCACTCTCAGTAAGTCGCAGTACTTTTAGTGACATGCAGTATATTGTGGAAGAGAAGGACCGCACAAGGAAAAATTAAGTTATTCCAAAAACATCAAAGCCAACATAATCTATAGGACATTAAGATGCTCTGACGAGGCACTATTTTCAGAGATATCTATATTAAAAAACATGAAAGCCAACATAATCTATAGGACATTAAGATGCTCTGACGAGGCACTATTTTCAGAAATATCTATATTAGATAAAAAGCAACAGTAGTTTACCAAATCTCGTTGATCCATTTTTACTATACAAAGCAAGTGAAACCAACTGAGGACATCGCACGAACTTTATAAGAAGCGAGTTCATTCATGTCGACAGGCTGACTGCCCCCTGCTATACATACATCACCCAACATGTTAATCTAGAATCAAACAAAAATGTCACGATAAAAATAGGATGAAATTGCTAAATTCTTGCTTTGAGAAATGGACAAATCGTATCTGTCACATAATTCATTATGGTGACTGCAAAACTAGTGTATTGTCGATTTCAAGCGTTCCTCCTCATAGCCCTGTTCGAGTAGTTATTGTATTATGAACCACCCCTCTAATTTATTAATAAAATGCAAACATGCTCCAACCCTTCAATCAAGATATGTCATATGTCTATGATGTTCCTTTGGCACCGTCTTACGGTGTTTATATATCACAACTCGTTCGCTCTGCCAGTGTCTGTAGTGACGTTTTGGATTTCAATGAGCGTAATCTATGTATTACTGGTAAATTATTAAGTCATGGATTTCGTCACCACAAATTGCTTAAACCTTTACTAAATTCTTCCATAGATACAAAGATTTGGTTTGGAAGTTTGGCTGTACTTGTAGAAAACATATTTCAAATGGAATAGCACATCCTAATTTTTACGGTGATGTGGTTTACCGAGCCCGGAAATATAGATACGATCCGGGTAAACTTATCAGTCCTTTAAATAAACTTATTCTAAAAGGTTACCAATAGAACATTGTAATTAGATCTTTGAATATTGTTTTTATTGGTATAGATATTGTTATCAGTAAATTAAAATCATACTAAATATTATTGTTATACACATATGCACATTCACGTTACTACAATCTGTCGATACCTATATTTTGGCATTGCACAAGGTCATATTTACTCTGACTGTTAATGACGTCGTTACACTAAATCCATTGGATGTTGGATGTTTACTGATTGATATTTTAGTTTTAGATACAAAACTTTTTATTAGTTGTTATTGGCTTTGAACTACCTGTCAGTAACTGCGAGTAATCTCAGATCTTTACTTTGTGTCTTTTTTTGTTGTGGGATTTATAGATACGCTGCCACGTCTAATATGTATTTTCGTTAGTTGTTTTCTGCTTTGTATCGATCTGATGAGTGAAGCCCTTTTCAACGATTTTTATAGTTTGTTCTTATGTTGTACTGTTACACCACTGTCCCAGGGTAGGGGAGGGTTTGGCGCCAGCAAACTAGTTTAACCCCGCCACATTCTATATGTGCCTGTCCCAAGTCAGGAGCCTAGTTCAGTGGTTGTCGTTGGTTCATGTCTGTCATATTTGTTTTTCGTAAATTGTTGTTATAAATTAGGCCGTTAGTTTTCTCAATTGAATTTTTTCATATTTTTCATGTCGGGGCCTTTTATAGCCGACTATACGGTATGTTTTTTTCTCATTGTTGAGTGTCGTACGGTTGCGTATAATTGCTTACATCCACTTCATTTGAACTTTGGTGGATATTTGTCTCAATGGCAATCATACCACATCTCCTTCTTTTTATATTCATGCATACTCTGTACTTTATAACGATTTTTACGCAGTTTTGGAATCCAATATCAAGTGGTAAAAATCATCGTCCTTTTAAATGTTGTTAGGGAATCCAAATAATGATTATTACAATGTAAAGCAATATTTTTAGAGGCTTTGTTTGGTAAACAACAATATATTTGTCGTGATAAGAAGCTAAAACATTCATAACCCAATGGTCGCGTACGACATCGTAGTTTTGAATGCGCCCCTGAATATATAAACAAACAGAATTCATCGACTTAGATGATATGTTCAGTTTAGGTTCGTCCGGATTACACTAAACTTATTTTCTGGCATCCACCAGAATGGCGAAGTTCTTTTTCCAGTTGATTAGCTGTGGCACTAATTCAACAAATAACATGTACTGAATCTTAATATAATTTCAAAAGGTAATTTGAAAGTGGTAACTGATATTTCATTAAGAAATAACCAGGGGCACATTTTATTACTGTACTTAGACACTTTATTGAATTACTGTTTATTATCTACAGTTATTATTTGTCATTGAACATCACAACAATGTTACTTTAGATAAGAAACAATAGTGTGTGTAATAATAAATCAGAAGCGGACCGCATATAGAATATTATTGTTATTTTTTACCATGTATAATAAAAAAAAACCTTTACAAGAAAAATAACAATGATATTTTTAAACAGTTTTACATCTTTGGCTTTCAAATTTTTGGGTATGAGCGACCCCGATAAAGTTTAATCCAGAAAAGCACTTTCGGTCGTAACAATTGTAAACAGTTTTATTTTCCATTTTTTCAAACATTTTCTTGGAAAGCATACTCATGAAACCAGACATTAAACATTTGGAAATACGCACAGTTTACATTGCCTCCGATTATATTTAATATGCTTTGTAATAATGTGCATATATTTATTTGGATTACCTTTAAATTGTATTGCTTATGGTTGGAAATAAATTTGAGGCAACAGCAGTTCCCAATCATACAATCAAAGTAAAAAAAAAACCCGAGTGAACTCCAAAAGGGGCAACATTGTGGGCATCAACAGCGTAAACGTTTCCTACTATATATGCATGTATCATCCGCCATGCGATTCAACACTTAGGCATAGAACACAATCGGTAGATCTATAGATCAGACAACTATTCCGGTATATAAGATCTAAGACTGCGAATAATGTCACAAGTGATTCGAGACACAGACGAATCGTATCATTCAACGAATTCGTGTTTGTGACCGTAAAACTTTTTAGTGTCGATTTCAGTCGTTTTTTCTCATAACTTTGTTGGGACAGTTTTTAATTCAGTAGTACACCTCTGTTTATAAAGTCAATATAATGTGCACACGATATATGTAAACGCTATGCGATAGGACATTGTGTGTTACTGCTGTACATTGGGAGGTTGACAATTGGGTAACTAAAATCAATAAGTTTCTCGATTGCTACATTTTGACTGAATGGATTCGCATGACGGGTGATGCATGTAGAGCAGGAGACGCTTACCCTGCCTGTCGACGCAACCGGTCTTGCTCCTTTTGGAGTTAATGCAATTGCCTATGGTTTCGTTTTAACTTGATTTGTATCTTTTTAATAGAGTTAAAAGATTTGCACATCGGTAAACTACTGTCAAATATGACATAGATTTTAGTTTGAGGTCATTATAAAAGACGGGATAAAAATATGAATCAGACCTTATAGTTTCGGTAGTATCTTTGTCAATATGAAAATTAAAGGATGTGGCATGATTGCCAACGAGACAACTCTCCACTGGGCACCAAATGACGTAGAAGTTGACATCTATAGTACACCGTACGGCCTTCCACAATGAGCAAAACCCAGACCGCATAGTCAGCTAAAAGGACCCCGAAATGACAAATGTAAAACAATTCAAATGAGAAAACTAACGGCCGTATTTACGTACAAAACAATAAACGAAAAACAAAAATGATATACAGGAACAAACGACAACCACTGAATAACAGGCTCCTGACTTAGGACAGGCACATAACGAATCAAGTTCACTAGGATATATGAGATGCAGTCACTCATTGATATGCTGGTAATTGAGTGACAGGTCATCGTATCTGAATGTGAAATTAAAGAATCTGACAAGATGCTTTTTCTTTTTGTCTTTGAGAAGGTTTTGTATGAAAAATTATGTTTGTTGAAATATCAAACCACCAAACTTAACAAAAGTGTCGATCAAAAAGACCAGGATTTTGATGATGTCATCTTCGATGTATTTGTTGTTTTCTTACAAAGTACGAATTTTCTTTACCTTAAACAAGGAAATT